GCTTCGATTGTGCAACTTTGACTAAGAACTTCGTTATAAGAACGTAACACTGGAGACAGCCAAAATGCCTCCACCATACTTTGAAGCTTAACAGACATACACAGTTGATAGTGCTACTACGCCTATTTTGTAGTACCGTATTCTCCCGGATAAAACACCCCCCCGTAATTGTACACCCCCGGGTAGCTAATACGGGGTGGGTGTTATATCCGAACCCGTTAGTACTATACCCTCCTTTTTGGGGTGATTCTCTATAACACCCCCCTTTTCTTATATATTCCTATTATAGCTGTTATCGAGTCCGATTCCTTATGGGAGGATATTGCGAAAATCACTCCCTAGAAGAAATTTCGCATGTAATTTCACTTAGAATCAGCCGAGATATCCCCCCCAGGGCTGACGTTTCATTTCGGGCCCCCCTGATTTCGGGAAAAAAATTCTCCCTGGATTACCGTATGGCCCCGGATATAGGCGCCGGCCAATTACAGGCGCCGGCGCCTCTATCTGGAGCATGGCGCTTATGGCCGATCCTCGATTATAAGCGCCACCCCTTTTGTACCCTTCCTTATTATAAGCGCCACCCTCAATATTAACACTTTTTTTACCACCACAACAAAAGCAAACAACAACTATAACATCGTTCGCTTCAACGAATAGTACAAGTTTTACACAATTTTAGACTTAATTTGCTATTCTACCTAGGTGCTAGTACCGGAACTACTCCTCGTCAGACTCGGGCTCATGGCAGTTGTTGCCAAAGAATCCGTCGGCGATGATGCCGTCGTCTACATCCACTTCCGCCGTCAGTTGGCTCCGCCTGTGCGCCATGGCGAGGTGGTCCTCACTGCCGTCAAGCGCGTTGCTAATGCCGCAGGTGAGGAAGGCGCGCTTGACGAGGTCGGAGGGTACTGCTTTCCAGGCTTGTGAAATCCATCGAAGGACCACTTCTTGGGGGGGCTTATTCAGATTCCCTGCACCGCAACAGAGACACCCGGGAAAGCCATGTCAGTGACCAAGGGTGAAAGGGGGATAAACATGCGTATTTAACAAACAACGTACCTGCAGCTGTTAGTTGCTCTTGGCCCTCCTCCTGAAACCACTTCTGGTAGTGCTGACGAACAGATGCTTTGAAGCTCTTGTTGATGGAGACGTCGAGCGGCTGTTTTCTGAGCAACCCGCGTCTTCATGCGAACGCTCAGATTCCACCGCTTCCGAAACCGCTCCGACCATCTCTGACTCCTGCTCCACTTGATGTCCGGGTAGAGGATCTTCATGAACTCCCTCGACCACTCCCGCAGACGGCCGACCGACACGGCGGTTCCTTTGCGGCGCCAGTCCAGGAGCCGCTCGTACACCTTCAACTCCATGGGGCGGTACCACGAGGCCCGCCCGCGACCGTGCATGCGCTTCCGCCCGGAGTGTGCTTCTTTGAGAAACCCCGCTGCCACCTTCCAGTTGGCGAGACACTTCCGGTGAATCCCACACTCCCGAGCTAGTGCGTGCACCGACTTCGCCACATCCAGCATCGCGACGTACTTCAACTTCTCCGCAGCGGTGTAGCCTTTGCGCTTGTGATCGCTGATCTTGTGCCTGGGAGAGGGGGGGCGGGCATCACGGTTCTGGGTAGACGGGTGGGGTCGCTTGCGGTTAGCTGGTGGAAAGGAAGGTATCGGCAGTTCCTCGGGGAGCCCGTCACGTGACCAGCACTCGACACCGTCGTCGTCGTCGCCACCAGGTACGCCCTCAAGAAACACATCCTCAGCGGTGCCGCCCTGCGCGCCACCTTCCTCAGCCTCGTCGCCGTCAGCACGGCTCGCTTCCTCGTCGCCGTCAGCACGGCTCGCTTCCTCGTCCTCAGCCACGTCGTCGTCAGCTCCGAGTGCAGATTCGTCCCACGTGGTGCAATCATCGGGCCGGCCCCAACGTGGTCCAGGGTAAGGTGCGCCGGGTACCTCAACATCTTGGGCCTTGTTGCTTTCCGGTTCCTTCAGCCACTCGTCGAACGCAGTCGGGAGCAGGAGCGTGAGCACGGGCGGATCCCCTGTGTTGTGACGACATCCCAGAATCGGAGGAGACGGAGGAACAGGAGGAGCAGGAGGCGCAGGCGGCAAAGGAGGAGCAGGAGGAGCAGGCGGCGCAGGAGGTGATGGAGGCTGTGGTGGCTCTGGTGGTTCAGGTGGGACACGGGAGTACCATCCGTCGGCGTCGACTACGAAGGCGGGCCTACGCGCGGGCTTCTTTTTGAACAAGAAATGAGTGCCTGCGAATTCCGCCATGGCTTCCGCAGCATGGCGGGCGAGACCAAGAATCTGAATGAAAAAAGTGAAAGAGAAGGCGAAGAAATGAGGGTTTGGAGGGGACCCCTTCTGGTGTGCGGCTCGAGTTCCTCTTCAGGCATAGTCAGATCCCCCCCTGCCTAAACCCGCAGAGGAGGGAATCGCGGCACGTATCTGCTGCGCTGGCAGGGATATGCCACCCCCTTCTCGAAAGTTCGGGTGAAATGTGGCACCCTGGCAGCGCATGTAAACCCTATTGGGCCGCACGCCAGGATGCACGTCATCGCTGGCAGGTGCGTTGCTCCAAAACAGGTTCTGTGCGGTGGGAAATCGAGTCGCGGCAGTTTTCGCCGGAATTTCATGTACGATCCCATGCGCAACGTTCACAGTTGTGTTCGCCTTATTGTGGGCTTCACTTTAATACTTCGAAAACCAAAATTGGAATTTGACATTTTATAAGCGCCGGCGCTTATGGCCGTTCCTCAATTACAAGCGCCACCCCTAAAAAATCATTACTTATTATAAGCGCATATGCGCTTGTATCCGGGGCCAAACGGTATGAGGGCACATATTTCGTAGGTTTGCTACTCTGATTGGTCAGTGTCCAACGACTTACTCTGAGTTGTCAGGGTTCAGAGCAAGAAATCAGTGTTGCAGCCAATCATGCAAAATTCTCCCATTTCCCTCCCACGCCTCACTTCCCTGGCCGGTCGAAATCAAACAGAACACACAACCAAGCTGGCAGTCGTGATTTTACTGTACTGAAGTCACACAAACTGTTGGGTCAGATCACGGTTCTTCTGAAGTTCGCCTGCCATAAAATCTGGACAAGTGTACGCGAAAGTACACGTCAGTGTGACTTGGCACCACACAGCCACAATGTGCCACCCAAAGTACAGTGCACGTTCGCCGTCAACCACAGTGTATATTTGCAAACGGTGAGCGAAACACCTCGAATCAACCCCCAAAAAAATTGGGCGCCAAGAAATGCGACAAAACAGCACATCGCACATCAAATTGCTATCGCGTGGGCAAATCTGCAGGCACATCAGATTCGCTCTGTCATAGCAAATTCGCATAAGAAATTTGCCCTGTCAAGGACAAGATATTCACTTTGACAGAGCAGATCTGCTGTGTCAGAGGTATTCTGCCGAAAATCCCCGCAGCACGCTGCACTTCGCACGACACCACAAACATCCGCCCCACCCCATCCCCCCTCCCACAATCTCGCTGTCGCCACGCTGGTGAATCCCAAAATCTCGCTGTCGCCACGCTGGCGAATCTTCCACTGCAAGTGGTCCAAGAGGTGAAGTGGCCCAAGTGGCCCACAATATCCTCGTACTCGGTTTTGCGGTACTGATCAGCAATCTAGAAGTGAAGTGACACCCCACATTTTGTTTCATATCATTTCTGCTTCATATAAAATATACAATATAATAAGACCCGGGTATTATACAGGATTTTCCGTTGAGGAGACACCCCCCATTTTTTTCCGGTGGTTTTCATAATACCCTAGGGTGTTTTATCCGGGAGAATACGGTACCCTTCCAACAATTAGATGAATGGATTCATCTGTCCAGAAGCCATATTTTTAAGAGCATCCGCAAAGGAGGAGAACCGCAGAACCCCTAAAAGTTCATTCTTCATTCGATGATTTCTCACCCTTTTCTCCCCATCTGGAAGGCTCATGCTGACATCCTGACTGCGTCGTTCAGTCACCGTTTTGCTATCATCGTCAAGTTCCTGCCCAAAAACATTTTTAGAGACTTCGTTATGAACCCCACTGCCATTGATCATACCACCTGATACCGGTACGTTAGCCTGCTCGTGCCTCCCATTTGCCAACAACCCCGAACTTTCCATGTCAGTTCCCGGTTCGAATTCTTCTCTCCCCATCTTGCTGCCAACCATTACGTCCGAACCAGTAACAATGGTGGGATGCGTCGTCTTTTTCTTCTCCTTCTCAACGCCTCTCACGCGCCCGCTGTCCCCCCGCCGGATGATTCTGGGCGGCAGAGTGATCCGCAGAGCTTTTAGTTTCTGCCAGTACAGATCCGATTCTCCCGAGGCGATGAGCTGGCGAGCGAACTGCATGACGTGGCGGCGAGGCGATGGGTCGTCATCGACAATGTTGATGATTGCACTGGGGGAGGGAGACCGGATGGGGAGGGGAAAGGGGGAGTGAAGCAAGGGGATGGAAAGGGCAGGGGGGAGGGAGAGGGAGAGGGTGAGGGAGAGGGAGAGGGAGAGGGAGAGGCGACGGATCGTCATCTCCAATGTTGATGATTGCACTGGCGGAGAGGAGAAGCAGAGTGATGGGGGTGGGGGAGGAGGAAGAGGGGGTGGGGGGGTGCGAAAGGGGGAGGGGGAGTGAGGTTAGGTTAGGGGAAGAAAAAGGGCGGGACGGAAGGGGAGGGGAAGGATTGTCAATTACAATGTTGATGACTGGACTGAAGGAACACGGTGGGGAGTGAGGGGAGAGGGGGAGAGAGTGAGGCTAGGAGGAAAAAAGGGAAGAGAGAGCAGCAGAGGAGTGGTTGGAGAAAGGGAAGTGGATGGGAAGAGTGCGGGAGGGGACGAGTGGGGGCATGAGCAGATGCAACAGTATAAGATTAAACTGGTGCAGAAGCAGTTGCACCCCCACCTCACCAACCCCCACTTCCCCAAGCCCCCAACCTCCAAGGCCCCACCCCCCAAGGCCCCACCCACCTCCCGGCCCCTTCCTCACCTGCTGCCACGGCCGTCCATGCTGGCACCAATCGCAGCGCAGATGTCTGCCACGTGGCACCGCGACGTGAACCGCTTCCTCTGCCTGCGCTCGCGATTGGTGCTGCTCTCATCCCTTTTGCTGCCACTATCACCCTTATGGTTGCTGCTGCCCCGATCGCTGTTGCTACCCCAGTTGCCACTGGGCGCTTCACTGCTGAGGTTGCCCTTTTCACAGCTGCTGTCCCCTCGCCTGCTTCTCGTTGAATCAAGCGTTGCAGCTGACACTGACGACTGTGCTTCTCCTGCTCCCATCTCTGCTGCTGCTGCTGCTGTATCCAGAGCACTGTTGTAAGAGGGGGAGAGGCGGGGATGGCGGAGGGAGGCGGGGGAGAGGCGGGGATGGCGGAGGGAGGGGGAAATAGGGGAGATCAGAGGAGAGGAGTCGTAGGCTTGGAAGCAGGCATGGGAACAAATGCGATGAGAGAAGCAGACAGGTGCGAAGAGAGGGAGGGAAAAAAAGGAAAGGCGAGAAAGAAGACACTGTAGTGAGTGAGTCCAATGGAGAGGTAGGCGAGTAAGAAATCGAGAGATGGGAACAACAGATACCACGGTGATACCTGCGAAAGGGCCCATAAATCCCCCCGAGCCGGAATATGCGGACAGCAACAACAGAGCCCTCGCCCTGGTTCCGCTCCACATGACTCCTGCCCTCCTTGTCCGGCTGGTGTGCATCAGATACCACCTCCCCGAGTTGTGCCTGGAAGGCCAGCCACTCCCTCTCGGCGGCGTAGCGAGCAACGGCCTTCGGGGTGAGCGGGCGCGGAGGGGAGCTGATGTGCGCGTATGGGGGAAGAATGGATGTAGCAGGGGAATGGATGGATCAAGCGAGAAGCAGAGGAGATGCTTACTAGATGAGGGGTTAGTGCGGTGGAGGAAATAACACCACCCTGTGTGCATGGTTGATGTTCCTACAGAGAAACACATGAGCGTGAGAGATGATTTGTCGAGGTGAGGCACGTGAAAAAGGTCCTTGCTTTTCTCACTCACTCTCTCACTCGCTCAGTCACTCACTCACTCACTCACTCACTCCTCATCCACCCATTGGCCGTCCCAGTCACCATAGACGCCTGTGGACGACAGATACCCGATCCACCTGAGCCCATGCCTGGCAGATTGCATCAGGTGCTGGCAACAGGAGGAAAGCACCTGAAGAAACACATGCGGAAAAATGGACAAGATAAAGTAACTGAGCAGGAGAAAAGCGATGCAGCAACAGGTGGAACAGCAAAAGAGTTTAGACGGCACGCAACTTGAAGCCATGTCTACAAAACTTACCACATCAACGTGTTGTGGGGATGAGGGGCGAGGAGAGAGGAGAGGGGGGATGGAGACGAGTACGTGAGTGGCCGAGTGGAGGGCGGAGAGAGCGGCCTGGGGGAGACACACGGTGCTGGTTGGGAGGGGGACAGGGGGGGGGGGGGGGGGGGGGGAAGAAGGGTGGGAGGGAGTTGAGATGAATGAGAGAATGGGATGGAGAGGAGTACGTGTGTGGCAGAGTGAATGGCAGAGAGAAGGGAGTGGCAAAGAGTGGGGAGAGGGGTGAATCGACGTGAGTAGGGTAGGGGTGGGGGGTGGAGGATGGTAAGGAGGGGAATAGAGGAGCAAAGGAGGGCAGAGGGCTTTCAAGGAGGGATAAGGAGGTAATAAGGGGGGTGCAGACCTGTCAGTGCCATGGTCCTCCAGCAGGTGTGCTTGTAAGCCCATGTGACACAATCGATGCCAATCCTCCTGGCTCCTGCACGTGCCTGACACGCGCCTGCCATGGGGGGTGGGGGCAGGCAGAGAGAGAGAGAGCAAGTGCAAGGGCTGTGGGGAGTGGGAAAGGGGGGGGGAGGGGGAAGTTGAAGCGTTGTCTCGTTGCTCTAGGAGAACAGTCAAGCAAACCTAACGCTAGTTATCTTCTCCCCTTAAGAGACATCCTGGTTCGAGGGGCCAGTTTGTGCAACGGCTGTTGGGGCCGCTGTCAGCCGTTATCTGCTGTCGAACGTTAGTAAGGTCTTTTGAGACGTGTGCAAGAATTTGTGTGGATAGAAGCAGCACAACATACCAGCCTTTGGATAGAAGCACACTCGACAGTGCCACTGCCACGTATCCCAGCCCGAAGCAGAAAAGATGCCTCTCGCCGCCAGGCGCCGCGTCGCCGCCAGGAGAGGCGGCGCAGTCTGCTGAGGCGGCGCCGCCAGCTGAGGCGCGCTGCGGTTCGACCGCCGCCGCGTCGCCGCCGGGCGACGCGCCGCTGCCGGGAGAGGCGCGCTCCCCCGGAAATCTCGAGGCGGCGGGGGAGGTGGAAGCAGAAGCGGCGGCGGGCGATAATGCGGCGCATTCTGACATTCTAGAGGCAGATGGGGGCGACGCGGGGAAAGGACGCGGCAATCCCGAATCGGAAGGAGAAATTGCAGCGGGCAAGGACGAGGCGGAAACTACTCCGGAGAAAGACCGCAATCCCGAGGCCGAGGCGGAGAAAGTGGGGGAAACTGCTCCCGCTCGCCTTTCCGACCTCCCTAAGACGAAACATGAGGCGACTGAACGGGCGGGATGATCGCGATAAGCGCGATCACCGGGATAAGCGGGGGCGCTTGTGGAGGCGCCACGCTTGCAAGCAGTGAACTGTTGGTGATGCGCGCTTCTCTCAATCAAGTGCGTGAAGCGCGGTGGGTAATTGAATCCACGCACGATACAGACGACTCGGTACGGATAGTCACATAGCGAGGGATGACTAAGGCGAGGATGAAGGGTAAGTGAAGAGGTGCGCGTCGAATGTAGCGCAAGAGGCGGAGTACCCATGATGGGACGAGAAGCGGAAAAATCGCGGCACATTTCTCCCCCATCACAGTTGCAAATCTGTCACATTTTTCATGAAACAGATCCCCGTTTGTAGCTCCTCCACGAGGAACGTACATTCCATGGGACTTCACTTGTGAGCAGATATAATACACCCTTTCACAATTACATCCCAAAACACGTTTCTATCGGTGGAACCGTCTTCAGCACCATCACACCGTGGCTTAAATAAATCCAATGTTTGATCCTGCAAAAGCGATTCGCATTCACAGGAGGAAAAGCGTGAGCATAAACCAATAATAAGTAATCAGCGATGCCGGTTACAGACTCTCTCTCAGCGCCACATAATGTAACACAATACCAACTCACTACAGCGAACGCACCCAGCCACCCCCACACTAAACCCCGCCCGCACCACTCACCAGACACTCTTGAGAATGGTCAGCATCCACAGCAAAGCGTTGCAGTGCCTCCCTTGCAGCAGCTAGCACTCCGGCAGCATTAAAAAGCTCGGGTGTGAAAGATGGGAAGGCAGATGGTGGGTCATCGGTGGTGGGTGGTTGAGTGGTGGACGGAGGGAGAGGTGGGGTGGGGGCGGAGAGGGAGGCGGCATGGAGGGCGAAGAAGAGTGCGAGCTTGAGAGCGTTGGGGCGGTCGACGCGATGGATTTGGCTAATTGCACACAGCAAGACGACGAGTCACATAAACACACAGAGACACAGCGACGTGTGTGACTGTCATTCACTTCCCCAGCCCCCACCCCCCTTCCCATCCACACACAAAATGTCTCGCGGCACACATGGATGCAGCAGTGCACTACGCACATGCTTTTTCAATCCTTCAGGGACACAATTTACGGACAAGAAGCTGAGATATTAAAGCAAGAAAGCAGCAATCAACACATGCAATGGGCCAATGGCGCACCTGCGGTGGACCACAGCTGCTACCCACCCACCCACCCCCCTGCCACTCAACCCCCTGCCACTCAACCCCCTGCCACTCAACCCCCTGCCACTCAACCCCCTGCCACTCACCCCCTCACCACCCCAACCTGCTGCACCTTCAACCGGTAAACAGAGCAGCATTCTGGCCTGCAGCACACACAAGGAACAGAGGCACACCTGCGGAGGTGTTGGAAGCAGACGATCACAGCTGCCACCCACCCCCCTGCCACTCCAACCTGCTGCCCGCCCTCCTCCCCCGCCTTCTCCCCTTCCTTCTCCCCCCTCACCCCTTCTTCCACCAACACCAGCTTCAGGAACCATCTCTCTGCCACGTCAGCATCCACATCCAGACGCCACATCAGCGCCGCCCAACGGGTCCACACTGACCGTGCAGCTTCCAGGAAATGAGGCTGCATATGAGCAGCCATAGAGTGTGGGTTCCCAGAGGAAATGCTCCATTGCTCCTGAAGCCTATTGAAGTTTTCATTCCATTGCTCCAAACACGGTCCTGCCCGCTGCGTTGCCACCTCACTCCACGCCCGCTCCAGCTGGTGCCGTGTGGCGTCCTCGCTGGCGCCGTTGTAGATGGCCACGTCAGCGTGTGCCAGCCTGGCAGATGACGTCATCTGGGTGGTGGATGGTGTGAGTGGAGAGTGAAGGTCAAGAGAAGAGGTTGAGGAAGGGAAAAGGAGAGATTCAGGAACAAAGCTGTTAATAAAGAGGATAAAGGAAGAAGGGAAAGAAAGCGACAGGGGTAAGAAGAGAAGGGGTAAAGGGGAAGAGGGGGAGGATGGCAGACAGAAAGAAAATGCTGTGGCAGGGGGAAAGGAAGCAGAGACGAATCGATGCACATAAGTACACACATCCCCACACACACATCCCAGCACCCATTCCCCCTCCGCACATGCATGAGAACAAGGCTTCAAACACCCATCCACCAGTCTACCTACACCATCCACCAAACCAACCTGCGCAGCAATCCTCTTCCCCGCCTCCTCTTCAGTCACCCCATTCCGTGCCATCAACCGAGCCTTCGCCTCAGCCTCGGGGACAAACACCACCCAGACCTCGTCTACAGTTTGGTCCGAGCCTGCTTCGACCATCATGGCAGCCTCCACTATAAGCACAGCCGCAGGAGGAGCTATAGGGCGAATAGTAAACGAATTTCTACATGTCTCAGAGGCAGATGCCTTTTCAGTGCACTCAGAAAAAGTGGACGCTCCTCCTGTGAACTCAGACGAAGTAGGTGCCTTTTCACAATTGGTCGCCTTCTTAGGCGACTCAAAAGTCACCTCCCATCCGCCTGCACCTGCAGCCTCCCTCTCCTCCTCCACTATCTGTCGCACCATTGGCCACACCACCCCCGTCAGGGCAGCCATTTTTTCCGGGCAGGAAAACACTTGAGCTCCCAGTGCCGCCCGGTCAATCTGCCCATCTGAAAGACGCACCCGAGAAACCAAAAGAAAAAGGTGTTGGGGTGATGAAGCGAAGGAAAGAAAACCAGAGAGATAAGGATTAGAAGGCAAGCACTGAGGCCAATGGGAATAGCAGGGAATGAGTGGAGCAACAAGGAGATCTCCATCTTGCAAAGTCACATACCCACACATACCCACCTGCAGCGCGCACCACAGAGGCCCCAAAGAGCTCCACAATGCGGCGGTACGCAGGTGTGCCGGGCTCATACGCTCGATGGGCGAGCCGGTCACAGTCCACCGCCCCCACCCTCCACTGCCTCCCCTGCCCTGCTCCCCCCTCTTCTGAATGCCGCCCTTGCCCTGCCTCCCTTTCCTCTGAGTGCCACCCCTCCCTCGCTGCTTCCCTGCTTCCTTCTGGCTCAATTGGAACAGCTGCAGAGACAGTGGCAGCAGCAGAGGGAGAAGCAGCAGCAGCAGTAGGAGCAGAGGAGGAGGAGGAGGAGGAGGCGAGGGAGCAGAGCAAGCGAGCAACAGTGGATTTGCCAGAGGCAATTCCTCCTGTGAGCCCCACCAGGTACGGCCCCGCCTGCAGCCGCCCCTTGTGCTGCCGCCTCTGCCTCTTCTGCTTGCTGGTGTGGCGAGATGGTGCGAGGAAACAAAGGGAAGGGGGGGGAGGGAATAGGGGAAGAGGAATAGGGGGATGCATAGAAGAGAAGAGTGTGTTGAGAAAAAATCAACGGCAGTCACATGGCAGGCCAGGGGAAGGAAAGCAAGCGCGCAAGAGAACAAGCAAGCAAGGAAAAGCATCTGGGTGGAGTGTGGGAAACACTGAAAGGTTAGAGACGAAAAAACACCGGTGAAACGTGCGGACGACTCGCCTTGGCAGAGGCAGGAAAGTTCCGAGACATTGCTCCCTGAGCAGGGAGGAGCTTAGCTTGCTGATGTCAGCCGCTGTAGAGGTGGTGGCGGGAGCGAGTGGAAGAGCAGCGGTTGATGGCGCTGGTACTGTTGATGCCACCACTACCTGGTGTGTGGATAGGGATACCAACCAACACACAGGGGTCTATTTTTTATGCGCCTCAAAGCAGAGCAGCGGTTGGCGGTGCTGGTACTGTTGATGCCACCACTACCTGGTGTGTGGATAGGGATACCAACCAACACACAGGGGTCTATTTTTTATGCGCCTCAAAGCAGAGCAGCGGTTGGCGGTGCTGGTACTGTTGATGCCACCACTACCTGGTGTGTGGGCGCGGGCATGTGCAGTGCACACACAAAGGAGGGTCGGTTTTTCTTATGGTACCTCTAAAACAGGGGCTGGCACTGTTGACACGGCCAGCACCACTGCCTGGTGTATGGGCATGGCCGTGCACACGGTTGGGTTGAATTTGAGGCGCACCGAAAAACGGATATTACAATCATTGGGCTGGGAAAGCTAGGAGCAGAAATGAAGCCGCACTTACGTGTAACGGAATAATCTGATTGGCCGCTCTCATCCTGTTGATAGCCGCGGCGCCTCCCACTGTCTCCTCACTAACCACAATGCAGTCCAGGCTCGGATCCGAACCTCCCCGCTCAGGTACGGGATCTTGGATTGGCGCAAAATCAAGCCGAACCAAGCCGGGAGCCTTGCCCTGTCGCTGTAGCTCCTGCTGCAGAAACTTCTCGGCAACTTCCTTGCGCTCGTTGTAGGGCTGGATCATCTGAGGGGAACGGGGATGAGGGGAACGGGGATGAGGGGAACGGGGATGAGGGGATGGGGATGAGGGGAACGGGGATGAGGGGAACGGGGATGAGGGGAACGGAGATGAGGGGAACGGAGATGAGGGGAACGGGGATGAGGGGAACGGGGATGAGGGGAACGGGGATGAGGGGATGGGGATGAGGGGAACGGGGATGAGGGGAACGGGGATGAGGGGAACGGAGATGAGGGGAACGGAGATGAGGGGAACGGGGATGAGGGGATGGGGATGAGGGGAACGGTATTCGGGAACGGGGATTCGATTCGAAGAACCGGGATCCGATGGGGGAACGGGGATTCGGGGAACGGGGATTCGATTCAGGGGACGGGGATTTGATTCGGGGAACCGGGATTCGATTTGGGGAACGGGAATTCGAGAAACGGGGATTCGGGGAACGGGAATTCGATTTGGGGAACCGGGATTCAATTCGGGGAACTTGGATTCGGGAAACG